TCTGGATATTTTCTGCCTAAAATATGTTATCTTCCATTACGTTTTTTTTCTCAATAAAAAAGTACATTACCACAACATAAGAAAAAATCATGCTTGATATGTCATAATTATGACACATTTTTTTTGTAAAACGTTGACATCGAGGTACATCAAAATTATTAGACAAAAAGTCATAAATGTGACATAAAAAGTCATAATTATAAAATAAAAATTGTAAAAAGTCAACATTTTCAGATATGAGATAAAAAAGACTTTTATGACATTAAAGCACAAATTTATTAGATTAAAAAGTCAGTTATGACAAAAAAAAGTCATAATTATGACAAAAGTTTACAATAGAACAAAAATAATTATGAGATAAAAGGTCTACATTTTGAGATAAAATGTCAAAATTTAGCGATAAAATCATAATAATGCAATTATAATTACTTAAAAATTTGACTTTTGATGTCATAATTATGACTATTGTATGTCAAAACTTTTTATTTAATAGTTTTGACTTTATCTCATCATGTCATAATTTCATTTTTTAATGTCATAATTCTAGCAACAACAGAATGTAAAGATCACAAATATTTAAGAAGTAAATGGTTGAAACACATAAGTCAGATGTAGCCATGTAGCTGTATCATATTGCAGCTTCTACAGATGATTTAATTTCCAAAAGTAAAACTCCTCAATAAGGAACAAGGTTATTCAAAGAGACACCAGCAGAGGTCATATGGATATGCTTTCACTCTTCATTAAGAGCTCTGAGTGGAGAGCATTAGAGTGTAATGTTACCATTCAGAAGAGTCAGCTGTGCAAAATGGGAATTAGAGTTAAAACTTGCTCATCATATTAATTATTTTCCAATATTAATATATTAACAGCAGTTAATATCAGCCTCAAGGTCAATGGGGTCATCAGGGGTCCCCATAATGTTCGAGGTGTGCAAACATGCACAGTAGATAAACCAAAACTGAGCAACCTGCCATTGTCTTTAATGTCATGTTTCCACAGTAGCCTATATTTTTACATAAACAGATGTATGTGGCACGAATTATATTAGTTTTGAATTAGGTTTCCTCTTTTTAGCCTGAAGTGACAGCAGTCTTTTTTGAGGATGCAAATGCACTCTGTTACAAATATCTTGCTATGAAAGGATTGTTGCTTTTACAAATAGCAATAGATTGCTTTTATAAATCATTATGTTATTTCACACAACTTGAGTTTGTACTACTTTATGGAAGAAGGTGTAATTGTCAAAAAAAAGAAAGAAAAAGAAGATCATATTAGATTATGGTCACATGGATTTTTAAAGAGATAATAATCAGTATACTGTAAAAGGAGGCTTGAATAATGTATTTAAGACAAAAATGCATTAAGAACATTTTCTGGCAGAAAACCAATACAAAGCACTGTTCTGCATATGTTGTTTAATATTTAATGTTGTGGTCAGTTAATCTCTTCAGGTTGTCCACTGGAGCCTATTAAAAGTGTGTTACTGACAAACAATGTTGTGAATTAATTGTGCTGAAAGAACTTAATAATAAACTCTGATTATTATTATTTATTTATTTATAGGCTATCTCAACCTCAGTTATTATTATATCACAAATCGATCATGGAATTTCTCTGAGAACAACTCTGTATACACTGGAGTATAAAAACTACAAAATATATTTTTTTCATTGATTTAATATATGTTTTTACATTTGTGACGTTTCTGATTATCAATGCTGATTCAGATGCACATAATAAAGACTGGCTCATTTTGCACCAGCGATTGCAGGCCTCAGCAATTACAGAATTATCATCTTAATTAGTCTTTTGTTGTGGAGGCAGGGGGTGTGAAGCTTGGAACAGACATGCACTAATAATAAAGCACTCTTATTCTACAGACTAATGAATTTATAAAGGAGGGAATGGTTTCTTTTTTGAGACACAAAAGATAAATCTATTTTTTTTAATTATTATCATATCATTAGCATATAAATAAATACAATTAACAAACACCTTTAATAATTAGAAAATAAATAAAAAATAAATAAACGATAATGTTCGTGGGCAACAGCAGAAGTGAAGTTTTTCAGTCAATAAGGATTTCAGTTTGTTACTCACACAATGACTTAAGAAGACTTGACAATTTTCCAGTATGAACTGCTTTTGTGAAAGTTTTTTTTTATGGGCAATAGTCTAAAATCCATTTTTGTATCCCAGATTTTTCAAATAAAAATAATAATTAATATAATTTAAAAAATTATAATTCCTTGTTTGAATTGCATGGTAAATGAAGAC